CCATTGGGTGCAAATGGGTCTTCAAAAAGAAGACTGACATGGATGGTAAGGTGCAAACCTTCAAGGCACGATTGGTAGCAAAAGGATATCGTCAAATACATGGTATCGACTATGACGAAACTTTTTCTCCAGTTGTCATGATTAAATCCATTCGGATCTTACTTGCTATCGCAGCATACCATGATTACGAAATCTGGCAAGGTATGCAAGTTGCAGCGATCAATCTACGGATTGAAGCAAGCCTCACGGAGTTGGAACATCCGCTTTCACGAAACTGTCATCAGCTTTGGTTTTGAAAGAAATTCGGATGAATCTTGTGTATACAAGAAGGTCAGTGGGAGTGCTGTAGTCTTCCTTGCTCTGTATGTTGATGACATATTGCTCATAGGAAACGATATTCCTACTTTAACCACCGTCAAAATGTGGTTGAGTAAGAGTTTCTCTATGAAGGACTTGGGAGATGCCAGTTATGCACTTGGCATAAGGATCTATATGGATAGATCACGGAAGCTGTTAGGTCTCAGTCAAAGTACATACATAGACAAGGTCCTCGCTAGATTCAGCATGTCTGAGTCGAAACGAGGAAGTTTGCCTATGGTCCAAGGCACGAGTCTTTCCAAAACTCAGGGTGCTTCCACTACGGAGGAAGTAGAACGCATGAGAAATGTTCCTTATGCATCGGCCATTGGATCCATCATGTATGCGATGGTATGTACGAGACATGATGTCGCCTTTGCTCTGAGTGTCACGAGTAGATACCAGCCCAACCCTGGCGAAAGCCATTGGACGGCTGTGAAGAACATCCTTAAGTACTTCCGTAGGACTAAGGATGCCTTCCTAGTATATGGCGGAAAAGAAGAGCTCAGTATTGTTGGATATACTGATGCCAGCTTCCAAACTAATAGAGATGACTTCAAGTCGCAGGCAGGGTATGTGTTTTGTTTGCATGGCGGAGCTGTTACCTGGAAGAGTTACAAGCAAGATACTACCGCTGATTCCACTATAGAAGCAGAGTACATGGCTGCAGCCGAGGCAGCCAAGGAAGGTGTGTGGCTCAAGAATTTTTTACTGAGCTTGGAGTGGTTCCTAGCATCAAGAACCCTATACCGTTGTTTTGCGACAACAATGGGGCAATTGCACAAGCAAAAGAACCTTGGTCTCATCAGAAGACCAAACACATCGTTAGACGTTATCACATCATACGAGAAATCGTTGCACGTGGGGACTTTGAGATTTTCAAGATAGGCACAGACGACAATATCGCGGATCCATTGACGAAGGCTTTGGGAAAGCCTAAACACGAGAGTCATACGTGGTCCATGGTCATTCGAGAAATGCTTGATTGGCCTTATGGCAAGTGGGAGATTGTTGTGTTTAGGTGCCCTAGCGGCAATCAAATACCTATGTAACTGTACACTTTATCATGAATGAAAGGCCTTGAAGTATTTTTTATATCTCGTGTAACATAACATAGCTTAAGTCTATAGACGATAGCGCTTCAGTAACATAGATGAGGACTACGATGTTCTGATTGTGAGACTGTTACTTCTTGACGAAGGCTATGTCTAGAATATCCCTAGTCGCACTTTATGATAATACGGACGTCATAACGTATCAAGACTAGTATGTACGAGATGAGATAGTTGCGTCTCATAGACTATAGGTATTGTGATATCTTAATCTGTACGTAGGTGCATATTATATCGATAATATGTGACTGGATTGACCCATCTTGAGAATACTGCATGGATCTACAGTAATGTGTTTATCAGTATTCTCAAATCGACCTTGCTATAACTATCCTCAGACTTGAAGTTATTACATTCTCTGATATGTGGGGCCGTATGCTTTGATTCATAACTAAT